TTTTTGTTCTGGTGTTCTGAGACAGTGTCTTGACATGTAGTTCAGGTGGGCCTTGAACTGACTGTTGAGAACACGCTGGCCATGCCTTGTGATGTTTTCCTGCCTCCACTTCTCACATACTCATAGCTGTCATTTAAAAAGTTTTCTGAATAAAAAAAAAACTGTGAATTAATGTCTTTGGTTCTTACTGAAATTTATTCATACATCAGAGAACAATAAAAATAAATAACTACCATAAATGCTTAAGAAATAGTAAGGTTGAAAGCCTACATTTTTACTATACTAGACCACCAAAGCACAATGATAATAGCTAACAAGTAGATAAATAAACCCTTGTATCAAAAACTAGATAGATTCCTGATGTGCTTGGGTATGTGTCATATGAATGAAGACTCACATAGTCATTCAACAAGCTTTCCATGAGTACCTACTGTGTTCTGTGCTCTGTGTCAGCTGATGAGTTTATTACTTATTATGACAACTTTATTTGGTGCTGTTAAGAAATTTTGTCATGCCATATTAAAACAATAAATTTCACACATCTAGAAAATTAGATGTGTTTTTATTATGTATTAGAAATTAAAGGAAAATTAAGCAAATGACACTAGAATTAGAAAGAATGAGCAATTCATTAGCAATGAGAATATTAACTAGAAATTAGGATCTCTTTCCTATTTTAACATGCACTTGAGCTTAATTGGCTAAGTTTTGAATATGGGGAGATGAGTTGAGTTGTTAATACAAATTGCATACCTTTTATATACTTAATAAAATCCAAGAGTCTGTGATACATTTGCATTGTAGACAATTTGTCTGGAGGAGTCAGTGAGTTGAGTAATAGAAAGGGATAATAGGAAATCAGTGGCTGAGAAACCTAGAAAGTAAATTAGTATGTGCCTTACTTTATTAATTTATAACAATAAAGTAATGGATAAATCAATGAGCAGTGCTTTGCAAGAAGTGGGTGGAGAGGAAAGTTTCTCCTTTTTGCAATTTGTTAGAGTTATTTCCTCTGCAGAGGAAATGCTTGACAGGGTAAAGAAATGTCTTGGCACACAAGAAAAGAGTATAATACTGCAGAATTGGTGGGCACTCTACTCAATCCCTCGGGCCTTGGATTTTTAGAAAGCTATTGCTGACTTGAGATGCTGGTATCTGTATCTTGTCTGAGGACTTCTTTCACAAATCCTTAACTCAGGGGACTGATCATGATGATAAAATCAGTCATTCTCTGGTCCTCAGCAGACTTCAATCAATAACTGGCAAAAGTTAGTGTCTCAGTACTCTTGCTCCATCGTTCCTTGGGTGGTGTAATTCTTTGGCATTGTTTTGCATAGTTTTCTAGAGTCTACATTCAGGATTATGCTTCATTTATCCACAAGGAAACTGGCTTGCTGGGCTGCTTTCTCTTTCTTTTGTCATCTCCCTACTTTCTTAGTAGCTCTTACTCTGTCTGCCATGTAAGTCTCTGTGCTTGAATCCTTGCATGGGATTCTGGGAAGACCCAAAGAAAGACATGCATGAAGACTGTTGGCTCTCCATCGCCCTTGTACTTTGTTGTCCTTGGTATTTTTCTAGGCTGAATCTTTGCTTGGAAGTACTGATCACAGACTTTCATGAGACAGTACTCTCAGGCTTCAGAGTTTTGAGCATTGACAGGAATTTGCTTGCAAAGGATTATTCTGGACAGAAGAGGGTCTGGTAAGGCCAGCTAGCTGAACTCAACTTTGCCATCTCTTCCCTTACCCTTGGGTCTTGTCTTGCAGCCTGGCCGTCTGTACATGTATGAGGAAGACAGATGAATGCTCCTTAGACTAAGCTTTTTGTCCATTTTCTATGGTCAGTCTTTATTGGAGAGGGTGAACATTGTCTCTCTGTAATGTTATAAGCGAGCAATTCCCTCTTTTTATTTCTTGCATTGCCAGGCTTAATTAGCAATTTGCGAATGCTTCAGAATGCTCTTTGGAGCTACTCCATCTCTGTTCTCTTAGGGAAAGAATGTTCCCTTTCAAAACTTTGTTTCCGTGTAAAGGGAGCTTCTACAATAAGAATTTTTCCCTCAGCCATCACCTCCCACCTTATCCTCTATAAATAGTGCCTCTACTTAAACCGCCTGCTTCCCAGGTTAGACCTCTGTGGAGGATTCTCCAAATCACAGCCTGAACGGTCAGTTAAAACACAGACTCATGCACGACCTTCCTCTGTAAAATCCTTTCTTTTGCACTTGTGAGAAACTCAGACTGTCTCCCTTATATTACAAAATCTAACTCCCTTGTCTCCTTTTGGTCTTGACTTAAATGTCACCTTTTCAGAGTGACCTCTCTGGACCACTTTATTGGAATCTGTGAGTCCATCATTAGCACTTCCTGTCTTCCTTCCCTGCTTTGTTATTTTTATACCATTTATTGCATGTGATTCACTGCACGCATTCAGAATGGAGACAAAGATACAGAAGGTTTTTTTTTTTTTTCTTTTTTAAAATTATACATACAATTCTTAGTTAAGGCCCAATTTTTAAAACATTGACCCTGGATAAAGCTTCAGGAGCCCTGTGTACTTTCTGTTCCTTGTATGCAGAAATAGAATTGGTTTCTATAATGTAGCTTTGCACCCAATAGGCTTGTTGGATTCACTTGTTAAATTTTATCTGTGATTTTTAAAAAAATTCATTGATAGTCTTATTTTAATTTTTTAATCCTTTTAATTTTTATGTCTTTCTAATTTCATCTACAAACCACTTTCAGTATGATGTTGAGTAAAAGTGCTTAAAGAGGATATTCTTGTCTTACTCCTGTTCTAAAGGGGTGAGGATTTCATTAATTCACCATTAAGTATGACGTTTGGAGAGAAGTGTTACTGGTATTATCTGTAAACTTCTTATATGTTAAGGGAGTTTCTCTTTAGTTGTTTTTAAAAATAAGTGATTATTGAAATTTATCAATCTTTTTTTCCAGATTTGTTGAGAGTGCTATGTAGAATTTTTCTTTTATATTGTTAATATAATATTATATTTATATTAGTACTAACTATACAGTAATCAAAGATTAAGCCAATTTGCATCCTTGGGACAAAAGCAACATGATGAGGATGTATTATCCTTTTTAGATATTGCTATATTGAACAGTGAATATTTTGTTAATGTCTTTCATCATGCTTTTGAGAGCTTAGCCTTTGATTTATCTTTCTCTTAATAGCTATGTTAGGTTTTGGTACCAATGTCATTCTATTTTCATAATATAAATTACAAAGGGATCTTTTATTTTGTACATAAAGTTTTTAATAATAATGTTGTGATTTTTACTTGAATATTTGGAAGTATTTATACAAGCTAGTAGTACGTATCTGGGCCAGTAATGTTCTTTATCAGATTAATTTTAGTTATAAACTGATTTACTTTTATAGACATAAATATTCTCAGGTATAATTTTTCTAAAATTGAAACAAGTTTCTTCTTAGTGTAGCAGGTTGTATTTTTCCCAAAATATAAATGTCTTCTACATTTTTACATTTGTTGGTATAAATACCTTCAGGGTAGCCGAGCATGGTAGCACATGCCTGCAATCCTGGCCCTCAGGAGGCTGAGGCAGGAGGATTGCCTTGAATTTGAGGCCACCTTAGGCTACACTGTCTTACAGTTGTCAAATGCATGCATTTTCTTTAGTTATTTACCTATAAATGAAAGTAGTTCGCATAGTTTAAGATTATATTTGGCTTTATTTCATACTGCTGGATACTTTTAAAAGTGATTGAGCCAATGTATGCTCCTAGCAATGAAAGTAAAGTTACCTTACCTTTTAACAAACCGACAATATGAATTTTTTATGTGTATATTCTATGATTTTTAGCATTTTGTACTTTTTCATTTAAATGTATAATCTATGTTGAGTAATTTATGGTATTAGATGTCCAGGTCTATTTTCTACCCAAGTGAATGTCCTTTTTCTTCAGCACAATTTATTGAGATATCTAGGATTTCTTCACTGGATGCCTACGATTCTTGGAACTCAGTAAGGGTCATCTACCTTAGACTTGTACTCTGTGACATTGGTTGTATATGCCTATCCTCACACCTATCCCACACTGTCTTACTAAATGTAGCATCAAACTGTTACAGTGAAACTTACAACATAGCAATTTAAGTTTTCCACATTTGCTTTGGTCTCTCAATACTGTTTTGACTATTTCCAGATCTTTTGCCTTTTAATATTTATTTCAGTGAAAGCTATTAGTGACAAACTCTTCAGTGGTTGCCTATTATAAAATGCTATTTCATTTTCAAGATATTTTAATTTGATACAGAATTTCTCTTAGTGCTTTAAAGACGTGACTTCATCGTTGCCTTGACATTTTTGCTTTGGTTGAGAAATTAGCTGTTTGTCTTACTACTGAGTCTTTGATGGTAAGGTATTTCTTCTATGATTTTTTTTTAATCTTAAAGAGAGAAAAACAATAAAATAAAACAAAACAATGGGGATGAGACTAGACTTTAACAATAACAAGACAATAAGAAATCAACTATAGTTACTGTAATGCACCCTGTTACCTTTGACATAGGTGCTCAGCCTACCAGACATGGCCGTGCAAAGTCAATCAAACAGCAATAACTAGAAAATAGGATTATTTAGTCTCTTTACTTCAGTTGCTATCATTTCAGACATTTCAGGTGTGTGGGTTCTAATTTATTTTGTGTCTATGTTTTATGGACTTGTTCTGAGTAGGCTGGAGGTCTGAGATTCCACCCTGCTCCTTTGTCTTGACACTTTCCTGTGTCTTCTGAATCAGCAAGTTGCTGGGTCCTGGGTGTTTCCTGACTGGCTGTCTGGCTTGCAGTGCAGGGATTGGGCTAGGTACCTGGTGTCCTCTGATCCGAGGGTCCTGGCATGGTGAAGAGATGTAGGACTACTCATTGGTGGGCCCCCAATGGTTGCAGAACCCAAGGGATGTGACTTCCTTTCCTCTGGGACAATGGTGGCAGGCTCACGGGGGGGGGTGGGGGGGTGATTTGTTTCTTTGTAATGAATTAACCATTACATTTTTTAAAGTTCTGAAATGGTCAACAGACCATGGAAAGATATCACTTTAGGTTCCTGCTTGAAAGCAACAGCTTCAGAAGACTGTCGACTTTGATTCAGGACCACATGCCTGTTACTTTTAACACTGTTTTGTGTCATTAGTTTTGTCACAATGTGCCCTAGTGTAGACAACATTGTATTAATCTATCTTGAATCAATAAAGTTTCTTTCATCCATGGTTAATGTCTTTCATTAGTCTTGAAAAATTATCTCCTTGAAACAGTTATGCCTCATTTTTCTCCCACGACTTGTAGTTGAATTACATGCATAAGGGAGATCATCTCTAGTGAGTACCCTCGTGAGGTATGATAAATATGGAGAATGCTGGGGCTCAGCACCATCCATTGGAAAGGTAGGCTGGGAAAACACTGCCGTGTGTTCTCATCCACCTTATTCATGAGATGTAGTACCATGCAAATCCTGGTTCTTCCTTTAGGTCAAAACGAGCAATGACATGTTAAAGTTTTAATTGATTCAGGACATCGAGGCAGTCATGACATTATAACTGAGACATTCATGAAGATGATTCCTAGAACTCCTTCATAAAGTGGCAAGAATGATGGGATACGTAGGAGCAGTATTTTGAGGAAGATTAGTGGCAAAGTGTCTTTTAATGTAGTGATGTTTTTATATTTATTTATTTATTTATTGGTACTAGGATTCAAAGTCATGACCTCACATTTGCCATTTGGGCACTATACCACTGAGCTATATGCGCAGCCCGTACTGATGTTTGTAAATTTAAGCATTCTTGATATCTTTCAACCATAGCTCTTGTGTTCCATATTTCCACTCTGCCCTCTTTGTCTTTTTATTTTTTTATTTTATTTTTTTTTGCTTTTCTGTCTCTAATTTTTATGTTTTTGTATATCTCAGTCTGGATATTATCGACTGATTTAACTTTAATATTACTAATCCTTTATTCCTATTCTATTGTGAAATTACCTCTTAATTACCTCTGATAATCTTAATTTCAAAATTAATAGACATCTAGAATCCCACTTCAGGGATTCAATTCTTCTTATGAAATTGTCTTGTATCTATCTTCCTGAGCATATTATCAAGGTTAAGTCTGTATTCATAGCTCTGGATCACCTTTTGGTCTATTTTTATTAACTGCTTTTTCTCTTCTATCTGTGGAGATCCTTGGAATTTCTAAGTGGAATACCAGATATTGTGTTTAGTAAATGTTACAGACTATGAATGATGTTATTTTTCTCTACAGAGCTTTTGTTCAGCTTCTAGCAAAAGATTTAGTGTGAATTTGAAGCTGTGTTTCAACCCTTTGGAGATCTGTTCCACTTCTGCATTGTTTTAACTATTATTTGTGATACTATGGAGATTTTGCATGTAGTTGGGACTTGAATTGCTGATTTTTCTCCCTCCTCTGTAACGCAAGGTCAGCAAATTTCTAGCTTTTCCTTTTTCTATTTGCTGAATTTTGTTTCTCATGTATATAGAGAGGTGGTTAATTTAATGAAGACAGTGTAGAATTCATGTTCATATTGGTGGTTTTTTTTCTTGTCAGTAGCATGACCTTTTAGTTCTATTTGCCTTGTTAGCTGTTCAGTGCTTTTAAGTATTTATTTATTTTATATTTTACTTTTACATTTCAGCTAATTTTCTAGTTATTGAATAATAGGATTATTATGCTAGAAACTGGTACCTGGGAGGTGGAAATGGAAGCTGCAGATGCCAGATCTAGAAATGGTATATTTTATATTCTCCCAAATTTTGGGGGGCAGAAAAGATCTCATAATTCCTTCTAAAAAAATTGGATCCTGAAATAAAGTATTCACGTATGTCCATGTGGACAAATGAAAGAATTTAGGGAAAATATTCCATTGGGTTACTGTTATAGGCAATCGATTATGGACTTACTATATATTTTAGTGGAATCTTTATTCATTTTTAGGCAAAATTTAAACTAATTATTAAAAGAAAGTAAAAGAGTGTGTGTGTGTGTGTGTGTGTGTGTGTGTGTGTGTGTGTGCATGCGCGCACACGTGTCTGTCTGTCTGTCTGTCTGTCGGTCTGTCTTTAAAGCTTTATTCCTTCCCTGGGTTTTTGTTGTTGTTCTGGGAACTCTGCTGGGCGCATTTAGAGTTGTTCAATTTTTTGAATCCTCACATTAATCCTGCAAATAAGTGTTATTTCTTCTCATATATTTTCCAATGGTAAGTATGAGACTGAGGTGGTGAATTAGCTTTTGCTCTCCAATGTAAACTAAAGCCAATGAATCCATTCCACAAAATAATTTTCACTATTCTAAATTATACTCATGTAGATGCCATAAGATTTAGTACTTGGGACTAAGAGCTCAGGAAATAAGCTGCTAGTTTCCATTTAAACTATACGACTTCCTGATTATTCAAACAGTAGAAAATTTATTTTATTTACCTGTCCCTCAAATTCCTTCTCAGTAAAATTGATATAATAAGGAGTTGTAGTAAATGACTTAACAGAAGGTGCCTTGCATGTAATAAACACATAATAGCTATTAACTATCAACATTATTTAGAACCAGATGATTCCCAAACTACTGCTAGAACAGACCTGCATAGCTGCTGTGCTAAAATGTAAGTTCCACATTATGGTATTTGATACTGAGGGTACAGACTGCTGAATTTTAAATCATGAAAGGAGAGAAGTTGGACTGACTTTTATTTCCTTACTGTTATTCTTAAACAATAATATCTACCATACATTTTTCCCATCTTTTCTTCCCAATTACACTAGATTTTGCAAGCAAAGATCTTTCTCCAGGGCCACAATCCTAGTAGCGCTAAACCAATTGGTTACAACTTTACTTCTTTCATTTGAAGATTGCCATAAAGCATGGTAAAATGTTAGGAGAGACACATAATTTAGATGAGGTAGTAGATATTTATTTTCTAACTTAATGAAAAATTTATGATTTCACACTGTCACAAAACAACTTGCTCTGTGACTTGTGATTCACAATTTATGTGCTTGATATCATGTACTTTTGACAGTTCTTTCCTGTATCTGACAGATTTTTTTTCCCACTCTCAGAAGTAAGGAAGGCACACATTTCTGTATTTGTATGCGCTTTGTTCTGCTTGTGGTAGTATCTCTGTCTTTATCACACAAAATATAACTTTCTGTCAATCAATATTTAGGAAGCAATTACTGGAACTCTGTGTATGTATCACTATACTAGGTTGTGACAGTTGGAAAAAGAGTGTGCAAGGGAAAAGAAAAAGATCGCATCTCAACTTTTAAGGAACTAACTTACATATGCAAAAGTACTTTGAAAATAGTTTTCTTTTTATATTATTACCTTGTGTTTTATTTTCTGTGGCTGCTATAACAATTCCTGTAAACCTAGTGGCTTCAAGCAACAAAAATTTATTTTGTCTTAGTAGTGGAGGTCAGAAGTCCAAAATCAAGATGGCAATAGGATGGGTTTCTCTGGAGTTTCTTAAGGGGAAATTCATTCCATGCTCTCGGTCTCCTAGCTTCTATTGGCTGCCAATATCAGCTCATGGATTACCACTGTAATTGCCACCTCCGTCTTTAGCTTTCCCTCTCCTCTTCTGTTTGCCTTTTTTCCTGTAAGGATCCTTGCCATTGTTCTTAGAGCCTCATTGGTGAGCCAGGAAGATCTGTTCTGAGAGCCTCATCTTAATTTTATTTGTAAAGATGCTTCTTCTAAATAAGTTCACATTCATAGCACTTGACTTTACTTCTAGTTTTCATTATTATCAGATAATTTTTTTGCTATTTTCCTGGAATTGTATCATTTTTTTAATTTGTAGAACTTTCCCTTGAAGAAGAACATATTTATATGTCATCCTCTCCAGATGCTAAGAAAATATTCTCACTAAAAAAAAAAAAAAAAAGCAAAACAAAACAAAACCACATGCAAATTCAGAGGAACAAAGACAAGCTCAAAAGACATAATGGCACATTTGGAATCTAGTGACAATACAAACAGAAAAGCATGGCACAAGGGTGGTATTATTTGACCAAGCGCATATAGAAATTCATCTGACTCTAAGTCAGGGAGAGTTGTAAAGGCTTTCTGAGCAAGACCTTTGAAAGACCAAATAGGGGGTTACGTAAGGAAGAACACTGTAGGCACAGAGACCATGTGTTGCCATGTAGAGATGTCCAGAGTGAGGCAGAAAGTCTCATTTGTATGACTGCAGGATATGGAGTATGGGAAGGAAATATGACTGGGTGGGGGGTAGGTGTGTGGAGGGTAAATTTCCAGAGGTATTTGTTGTATGAGGGGTTCATCATGAAAAACCTTGTATATTCTGCTGTCTTAGTCATTTGTACTGTTAGGTAGAACAAGATATTACAGACTATGTGGCTCATGCACATAATAAATTTATTTCTTGTGGCTCTGGAGGCTAAGAAGTCCAAGATCAAGTTACCAGCAGGTTTAGTGTCTGGTGAGTGCCCATTTCCTTGTTTGCAGGGAGCACATCCCCTTTGTGCCCTCCCATAGAGAAAAGCATGCATGAACTATTTAGAAATTGTTTTATGAAGGCTATGTCTTAGTCTGTACAAGTGGTTATCACAAAATAGAAAGTACCTGACTTACAAATTATGGTAATTTAAGTCTTAGGATATTAGAATCTGTAAAGTCCAACAGTGAGCCTCTGGTAAATTTGATGTTTGCTGAGGTATCTACTAGTTATATCTTCACATGGTAGAAGGGAACTGTCTTGCTCCTTGGGGGCTCTCTTTATAAGGGTACTAATTCCACTGATGAAATCTCTGCCTCTCAAAGGTCCTGTGCCCTAATACTAATTCTAATTTTGAGAATTAGAATTTCTAATTTTGAGAATTATGATTTCATCATCAGAATCTTGGTGGGGCAAGGGTCTGTATAAAGTCAATTGAAACCACTAAAGAATGTGTATTTATTCATAAAAAATAATGAGAGTCTCATCAGGCTATCAATTAAAAATCTACCAAGAGTAGAGAAAGAGATTAGACATCAGAGGGACAGGCTGTTGGAGGAATACAAGTGAGAAATGATGGAATGATGAATCCTTCAAACAGCTTGTCCAGTGTGTGGAGGAATTGCA